CCATGTCCAAGCCTGCTTTCCTTACAATATGTTCTGCATATACATTGAGTAGGTAGGATGAAAGGATGCAGCTTTGTCTGACTCCTTTGCCAATTGGGAACCATTCTGTTTCTCCATGTTCTGTCCTGATAGTAGCGTCTTGTCCTGAGTACAGTTTCTTACTCAGTCTATCAGATATGTTGGCACTTCCATGTCTTTAAGGGCATTCCATAGCTTTTCATGATATATGCAGTCAAAGGTTTTGCTGTAGTCTATAAAACACATTTTCTTTTGGAACTCCCTGCTACACTCCATTAGCCATCATATATTTGCAATGTGATACCTGATGCCTCTTCCTTTCCTGAACCATGCTTGGACCTCTGGGATTTCTCTCTTCATATGTGGTTGGCATCTATGTTGCAGTATTTTGAGCATAATTTTGCCTGCATGGGAGATTAGTGCTATGGTCCTATAGTTGCTGCAGTCTCTTGTGTCCTTTTTTGTGGATGGGGATGTATATTGATTGCTTCCAATCTGCTGGCCATTGTTTTATTTTCCATATCTGTTGACATATGTTGGTTAGCACTAGAGTTGACTGTCAGTGTGGATTGCAACAGTTCTATTGGTATATTATCTGTTCCTGGACTCTTGTTTTTTGCCATTTCTTTTATTGCAGCTTTCACCTGTTTTTAGAAATTGGGGTTCATCTTCATATGGCTGTTCTCTCCATGTGTTCTTCATTTTGTCATCTCTTTTGTATAGTTCTTCTGTGTATTGCATCCAATGTCTTTTTATTCCTTCCTGGTCTTGAATTATGTTATTTTTATTGTCATAGGGTGTCCCGGTCCTTGGTCTAAACTTTCCCTTGATTTCTCGAATCTTGACAAATTATCTTTCTTAAGCATGACTTTTGTAATGATCAATCAGTCATTATTCTATCAATATGCCATAAGTCCAGAGGAAAACTCTTATTCATCCAGAGAACCAAATTACTGCACCATTTGTTTTAATCTCACCCTCAGAATGCCCAATTTTGTTGCCCTGGAACTTTTCTGTCCAAACTTGTACCTCTGAGTGGATTCTGCAACTCTGTATGTTCCTTAGGCAGTATTTGGTGTGGCCAGGCAGGTTGTTGTTTGGTTCCAAGGCACAAAGGCAAAACAAAAACCACCTCCCCCCCAATATATATGCAAAAGAATTTAAAAATGAAAGACTAAAGAAAAAACATGTACACCAAACTATTCTATAACCTTGCCATGATCACATTTTTTTTTCCTATCTAGAGTCTCTGTCACCTTATGATAATTAAGAAGTAAAATTACAGGGCTACATCCTTATGATCCACTGTTATGATTCAATCAGAATTTCTGCTCACATTTTTTCGTAGCTTTAGAACTGAGCTATGCAGAAAACAGGTTAGGTAAGACGATGTGAAAAAAAAGTTAAGCATTATTATTAGTATCCATATTTGTGCATGCTGCTTGGGCTATAGGTAACATCATGTTTATTTTCTCAGTTCTTCAAGCAGAAGCTATCTGAACCCCCATTTATTAGAAGGCATTTTTCTGAACATCAGTTAAGGGAATGCTAATTGTGTCTACATTTGGTTATGATGCTTATGCAGTGAATCCTGGGCTGATCTGCCCCATCCTCACCTACTAGGAAGTAGCTACTGTAATTAATGGGAGTATATTCCCATCACTTGGGAAGCTGCTGGCTGCTATTTTTACCCCCTCCCATGAGTGATCTCCAGTGTGAGAAGCAAAAGCTGGGTCCTTGTCACAATTGCCCTTCATGCCAGAGATTGCTCATGTGAGGGGGGTAGGACCATCAGCCAACTGCTTCCCAAGCAAGATGGGAATAGCCACTCATCAATCACACCGCTGCCCTGTAAGTGGGGACTGGGGAACTTTCAAGGTTTCTACGTAGCTCCTACATAGGGATCATAAATATATTAACAGTCACAAATGCGTAACTTTAGGTTACACAATTGTAACTGCCATAGAAGATTCCACTCATGATCACTACAGTTGTCTCCTCACTCTTTGTTATAATTCTATGATTTACCAAAGAATTCAATATTCTTCTAAATTCCTAAGCTGTATCTATGCACTACTGAACAAAAACCAAAAACAAATATATTGTATGATCTCCAAGCTTGAAAAATCTTTAATTTACTTTTTGTTATAAGAATGCCCAAACATTAAGAAGCCTTTGAAAACATGCTGAAATGATAGGTTTTAGGGCATTTAAAAAAACATACTTGCATCAAAGTATTTACAGCGCCGTGGGCGAATTATCTCTTGTACTACAGATGGTGCTGGGTCATCATTGGAAGACTGTGTCTCATCTTCCTGACCTGATGAATCCTTTATGGCCTCCTCCTTATAAAGAATGAAACAAGACAGCAGTAATTTTTCTTATTTCTATTTGCCCCTTTTTGTGTAACACATAACAAATATGGATTAGTCATACATTAAAAATCCACTGTAAAAAAAGAAAATTTAAAATTTAAAAAGCAGCCCTGGCATTCTAAAGTTGCAATACCTCCATGGAAAAAGCTCCATCTCACATAACCACCCATCTAATTTCACACAAGTAGAACTATGAAAGCCTGTAAGAAATAAATCCCAAAAAATAGAGGTAGCTGCGATGGTAAAGAACACCAACTGGACTGTTTCTCAGGTGGAAGAACTGGAAACACTGGAGAACACAAAACACAACAGCCTCCAGTTGAAATATGTTCTCTTTTGGAATTAGTCAAATTTTAAGACAAGGTTTTAATCAGGCAGAATGTCAAGAACTATGTATGAACTCTATATGGAGATTTTTGCATGAAGATTTATATATGATAAAGTGCTCAGAATTAGAGAACAGTAATTCCTATGCATAGGAGCCAGCGTAGTATTGCAGTTTGAGTGCTGAACTAGGTCACTGGGAGACCAGGATTCAAATCCCCACTCAGCCAGGATCATCATACATCAAAACAACTTGAAGGTACACACAACAACAACAACAACTCCTATGCATAGATTAGATGTTTATAACATTCATATCGAAAACATATTTCTGCACTTAATAAGTTTTGGCATTTTTATGATAAGCTCATACCTGGAGAGGAGGATTTTGTGTATTAAAATATACACTATTGCAGGATTCAATATTCTCAATGTTGAATAAATCTTATATCCACATATACTATTATTCAAGTAATTTCTGAACTAAGGTGAACCTATCATAGGGTTTTCTCAGGCTGAGGGTGTGTGACTTGTCCAATGTCATCCAGCAGGTTTCCATGGCTAAGCATGGATTCAAACCCTGGTCTCCAGAGTCACAGTCCAATGCTCAAACCACTACACCACAGTGGCTCCTTCTACCCTAATAGTACACTTTATTTTGTTTATTGCAAAATGTGTTTTTCCCATGTTTTTTCTACTTCTCAGATGGCAAAACCAAGATACAGGCATTTAGGTGACTCAGGATACATCAGTTTGCAGCTCTCTCTTTAAAATATGGTATATTCACAATTTTGTTCCCAAAAAGGTCATGCTTTCATATTTTTAATTTTCATAAATATGTCAAATAATTCAACTGAATATGGTAATATGTTTTTCAACACATTTCATTGGATAAAGCAGTAAAACATTTTTGAGTTTGATTGGACATAAGTATTGTGTATATTTCAATTTCTCCCACATTTTCAGGGTGGTTTTGTTTGAAACTCCCACCCCCACATTTTTCAGTGGCTTCAAAATTTCTAGAAATTTTAAATCTTCACCCACAGGTTCAAGTCCAAGAACTGACTGGGGAGCTAATTGTGTTAAAGCAAACTGTTCCTAATAACATGATTTTATCAGTATTTACATTATAATTCTACCCTTTCCTTTTTCCAGTGCACTCAGGGCAATGTACACTGCTCTCCTCCTTCCCACTTATTCTTTCACACAACTCTTTGAAGTAGCTCAGGCTAAGAAACGATTGGATGTTAAAACAACATATTAAATTGAACAAGGACAAAAAACAGGCAACTGACATATATGATATTAACAAGAGTAGTATGCTTGAATCTTGGGATCCTAGACAGCAATTTGGCCACTGCAATTTTTTACCAATTCCAGGCTGTCAAATACATGCATTTAATGGTAACCCCACTATAGTCTAGCCTAGAAGTAACTAGACATAGTTAACTGAAATCAAATCTGCATTCTTCATTAAAAGGCCATAGTTGAAGCAACTAAGGCTGATAAAAGACACTGCCTGCCACCACAATCACTGTCTGGATATAGAATAAGGAGATACAAGCATCTAGAAATGTCACCACAACCTTGAACAACTTGCCCATGTAAGGCAGATTTGACATAAGAAGGTATTTCAGCATTTCCCAGGCCCAAATTTACTTTTATAAAGAGAAAATTCACTACAGTGGCAAGAATGGTGCTCTCCCTCAAATGTAGTAATTAGACTTCTAAAAGCCAGACAGTAAGGAGTGCTCAGACTATTCTAACCAGCTAAGCTACCATAAGATTATAAACTACCATAAACTACCATAAGATTAAGAGCTGTTTGGCAGTGGAATATACTCCCTCGGAGTATGATAGAATCTCCTCCTGTTTAAACAGAGGCTGGATGGCCATCTGTTGGGAGTGCTTTGATTGTGTCTTCCTGGATGGCAAGGGGTTGGACTGGATGGCCCCTGTGGTCTCTCCCAGCTCTATGATTCTAAGATGGCCAACCATCAAGCAAGGAGAAACTGCAAACTGTCAAGTAGCCAGTCCATATCATCCAAAACAATATCCTCCAAGATATCCATTACAAAGTTATGGGGAACCTGTGGCTTATGGGCTGGATGCAGCCTATGAGGCCTTCCCTATCCAGCCTTCCCTATCCAGCCTGCCAAAGACTGCCAAAGGCTAAGGTCCCTCTCGCTCCCTGAAGCCACCTACCACAGAAGGGTAAGGGAAGCCAGTTCTACCAAGACCTACTGCTTCAGTGTCTTAAACTGATATTTCCTAGAGATTCACATGACTCAAAAGCTCCCCCCGAGATCAGACCACAGCACAATAAAGAGAAATATGTACAAATATGTGGCCATAGTTGATTTTGCATCCACAGTTGAATGAGATCTGTATATATCCAGAAGATTAAGCTTCATCAGTTGGTAGGAGATGTGAATACTCTCAGTCACCTGTTCAGACAGGAGCTACAAAGAAACCAGTATGTCCTTATATTGCCCTGGATAACAGATGGGAAATGCAGCAAACAGACTGATACACCTAACTTCCTTGAGCATAAAGTGAGTGGAAACTGAAGGATCTGACTTACCCAGCAGCAATCCAGATCAAGACCATTAAATTTTTTGAACCTGGGCCACTCCTATTTTTTAGACAGAACTCAATAAATCACCATGAGGTGAGGCTGAGGGTTCAAAAGCTTCTATGGATTTCAGGGCCCACCAGGGTCGGACTCTCTCTCTCTCTCTCTCTATATATATCTATACACACTTTAAAATTGCCCCAGAATGCCCAGTAGGAATCATAGGGATAACTTTGCTGTGGGGTGCTCTGAGTAGGCCTTTTCTCTGAGGAAGTGAACTGGATGTTCTGGGTCACTTTTAGTTGTAAGATAGGTCTCCCTTGGGTTTAAAATGGCCTGGAGGGCCAAAATCATGAAGAAATTGTCTCCACACCCCCTAGAGATATAATTTGGGGGCACAAAATTGAGGTAGCCCTCTGAGGTCTTCTGGGGTCAACACAGCCTCCTAACCTGGTATTTTCCCACTCCCAGGATTCTCCAATAATCCTGCTGCAAAAGCAGGAGTGTTGCAAGAAACCGCAGCTGTGCTGGGCAAAAGAAATAATTTTGGACTGGTTGCACCAAACTTTCACTAGAATTCTGGTCAATAGGGGAATATTGGGGAATGCATGGTGGAATGGGATCTCCAAGGAAACATGAACTAGTGAGTTGTATTTCAAGACTGCTCTGTTGGAAAAGCAGGGGAATTAAGCATTCCCTGAAATGGCAGAAAGACCGATCTTTAGCTAACTGCAACAGATCATATGGTGTGCATGTGGGTGGGCATCATTTGTAAGAAATACACTATGATGCAATTGGTCCATGGGTTGTTGTCTCTGGCAATGGGAGCAAGCTGTCTCTGGATCATAAGATGCATGAAAGGCACACAGCACATCTCAGCACCTTTGCCCTGTTCTGGTTGTTAATAACTGCCATCTTATTTGGAGACTGGAATATCTGCATGGAAATCATTGTGCTTTGTTCTATATGACGCTGCATCGATGGCAACCATTAGACGTATATAATCCACTGTGGTCCTTAAACAAGGAAATTACAAAGGAAGACAAAATAGAAAAACTGTTGAACTGAATTATATTCACAAATTCCAATCCATTAGCAGAGGTATAAACAAAGCCAATGATTTCATGGTACACCATATTAATACAAGAGTCCTAGCTACTCTACATATAACAAAAGGAACTTTCTCAAGAGAGTTTTGAATCCTGTACCACAATTTAGAATAAGGGTCATGATTTCCATCTTTCTGTATCCCGTTACACTCCATTCCATCCCCACAATTATGTTAATATACTTTGTACTGGACCATTTATTATCACTTTGCACTGCATCAAAAGAAGTGGGTCTATTACTATGAAGGGTCACATGAAAATAAAATCCAGTTAGTCTTAAAGGTGCTGACACACTTTTCTCTCCCCCCCTTCTTCTTCCTCCCCCCCCCACCTCCTTGCAGTGAAAGACAGGGAACCAGTAAGAATGGCACCAACAGATTGTAGAGTATTGAACCAAATCACATAGCTCCATTGGTGATTAGGGTTCAAGTGATGCATTGCCACAAAGAGAAGAAACTGAAGAGGTCACTGACAAACACTGGACACTAGTATGTGGAATTCACAAACCAGTTTAAAGGTGTTTCTTAGAGGAATTACAGGCTTTCTGACACATGATTGGCACTGGTTAGAGCTGTGGTTATCAAAACCATGGGAACACCGCTGTCATTCCACTCTGGGACCTAAAAGACCCAGCCACCATGACCAATAGTGAGGCATTCTGAGAACTGAAGCCCAAGAACAGTTTCCCTAGTGAAGAACCACTCTTCTGAAGAGGAGAGGTAAAACTGCTGTTCTGACATCTGTTTTGTCTGTTCAGCTCTGTAAACCTGCTAGGGAATACGAAACTCATTTGCCAAAAGGAGTTTCTGTATCATGGGCAAGATAGTACGAGAACTTCTGGGATCCCAGGCCACAGGATGACAGAATGAAGTTTTTTTCCAGCAAGTTGTCAGTTTTAGCATTAGAATGCCTGCTTCAAAAAGAAGGGCCAAGCTCCTTTGACAGTTCATCTTCTTCAGAAGACAACCCAGACTTACCTTTGGAGGAGCCACAGCAGATGCCTGATAGCCAGCCAAATCCCTCTTCAATTCAGCAGGTCAGGTCCAGAGCAGGAAAAGAAGTTGGAGGTGAGCCCCCTCCCCCAGTCCCAGAGAAAGGTGAAGGCTTGGACATCTGGTTCAGAGCATCCCATACACACAACATGAGAGGATGCAATCAAGGTGTTGAGAGGAGCACAGCTTTAGAAAGTTCTCCCTCAAAACTGCCTGGGATCTAAGTGTTGGCTGAACAGGCTGCCTATATAATGACATTACTTTTAGTCTTCTTCTTGATAGCTTAGCTTGTGCAAGTGTGTTTATTGGATTTATGATAAAGGGCTACTTAAGGACTGGGCTACTGAATCCCTGGAAACTTGACACTGATTTATGATAACTGGACAGCTTGAGGACTTGGCTGCCATGACTCCCTGGAAACATGACT